GGTTAAGAGCTCATGCTCCGCGTGCTGATGACCAACCAGACTATTTTTCCAATCCAGACCGTTTTTCTGAGGTTCAAACCCACACACTTGCCTGTCTTCAGCAAACCTTCATGGAAATATCCAAAGTTCCCAGGTAACCAAAACCGAACTTAACATCTTCCCACTAAGTCTACTCTACCTCCCATATTTCCTATCTAGGGACTGGAACCAATAATAACCCCCTTGCCCAAGTCTGAAACCTGCTATCAACCTGGATCAGTGGCCCTCAATGCTGGCAGCACCTCAAAATCCACTGTGGAGTCTTTTAAATCACAGAGCCCTAGACCTCCCCTCTGATCTCCTGTATCACGGCCTCTGGGAGTGGGGTCCGGCCTGGCAAGTCTGAAGGGTGGTTCTCCCAGGCAGAACATCTGTCCCAGCCTCACTCCAATCACCACACCCTGTGGCTTTTACCTACTGAATTCATTTATTTAGAATAGGTCATTCTTAAACATGGTACAAAAGTCAAAGGTTAAGAAAGGATATTCAGAGGAGAATTACCCTCCCACCATCATCTCAGTTATGCTACGGCAACACCCCCCTCCTTACTGGTCTGTCTGCCCTCAGTCTGACCTCCTCCAGTCCTGCTTCTGCAGCCAGAGTAAGTGTTCTGAAATGTAAGTCTGACTACATCGTCCCCCTGCTTAAATCAGCCCAGTGGCCCCCTCATCTCTGCCAGGACAAAGTATACACTCCTTAGCAAGACACACAAGGCCCCACCGCACCCAATCTGGCTCTTGCCACACCCACACAATTTAATCCACGACAACACTGTAACTCACTAAACTACTAACAGGCTCTCTGCCTGGAATCCTTCATCTCTCCTCTAGGAGGCCTTCCTGGACTATACCTGGCTGCATTAAGTGCCCAGAGCCCCTCCTGTACTGGACTAACCACCGCTGATTTTTTACAAAGGTACCAAGGTAATTCAAAGTGGAAATATAGTCTTTTCAATAGATGATGCTGGAAAACTGGATATTTATATGGAGTAGGGGTGGTGGAGTGAACCTTGATCCTTTCCTCATACCATACATAAAAATTAATTTTAATGTGTCATAGACCTAAACAAAAAGCTAAAAATATCAAATTTTAGGGGAAAATCTTTGTGACTTCACCTTAAGGTAGGCAAAGATTTCTTAGGACAAAAAGCACGAACCACCAAGGAAAATTTTGGATAAATTGGATAAGGTCAGAATTAGAAACTCTGGCTTTTTACCATTAAGAAGATAAAAGACAAATCACAGACCAACCACAATGGACTCTCATTCATTGCTGGTGGTAATGTAAAATAGTATAACCACTTCAAGAAACAATTTGAGAGCTTCTTAAAAAGTTGATAGCCCCATAAAAACAAGCCATCCCATTCACTTGCAGGTATTTTGCCCTTCAAATGAAATGGAAATATATGTCCACACAAAGACTTTATAGGGATGTTCAAGGCAGTTTTATTCACCATCTCAAAACCAGAAACAACCCAAGTGTCCTCCTTTGGGGTCCTGAGAAGATACCTCCCCACCAGCACAGCTGAGTTTTCCCCAATACCTGCTTACACCCAAATGCATAAACAGCTTATGGTATATGCCTACAATGGAATACTACTCACCAATGATAATGATATATACAACCACACGGATTCACAGAAGCATTGTGCTAAGTGAAAGAAGTCAGGCACAAAAGGCCACATCCTGTATGGCTTTATGTATATGAAATTCTAAGAAAGACAAAGTGTAGTGATGGAAATCAGNTTTATGTATATGAAATTCTAAGAAAGACAAAGTGTAGTGATAGAAATCAGAAGAGTGGTTATCTGAGGCCAGGGAAGAGGGAGGGTGAAGGGCAAAGGGCAGAAGTGAACTTTTGGGGGTAATGGAAACAGTCTACATCTTGAACTGAACAGTGGTTAGCCTGGTGTTTTCATTTGTCAAATCATAAAACTGTACACAGTACTGAACATTTCTGCTATTTACTGCATGTAAATAATATCTCAATAAAATTGTCTGTTTTTTTAATGGGAGGGCTGCTGTGAAGCATGAAGGAGAACACGGGTGAAAGGATTCTGCTCAAGACCTTCCAAAAACACACACATTCATTTTGGAGGCAGGGAGGGATGCTCTCCTCTGTGCCATTTCAGCCTCCCCGAGAGGCTTAGGGACATGTTCCCCCGCGAGAGGGCAGTGTGCCCGCCGGCTGGCCACCGCGTTCCGTCCGTCGGTACCTGGCGAGGGCAGGGACCCACAGCGACCCCAGGAGGGGACGCGCTCCGCCCTCCAGCCCCCCCGGGGGGGGGGTTGTTTTGCGCACACGGACCTGGAGGGGTTGGTGGCCGCGCCAAGCGCTCTGCGCCCATCGGTCCTACTGGCGTCGCCCGGCCGCGTCTAAGAGCCTGGCATCGGAGAAGGGAGCCTGGGCTCCCGGGCACACCGCCCCGGCTGTCGGGCAACCTTGGGCCAGTCACCTGTCCCCACTCGCCGGATGCAGAAGGGCAGCCGTGCCCGCCCTGGGTNCTGCCTCTCTGCTCCGCTCCCCAAACAGGGCCCGCGCCTCCATCGCCCTGACCTTCTTCCCCGCTAAGAAGCAGGTCATCGAGCTTTAGCAAATTCCCACCCACACAGAACTCGACATTTTTATTTTGAATGACAAAAGCAGCATGGCCTAGATTCGCGGTTTCATTGTCTGCGGTGCTATAGAGGCGGCTCACCAGCCGCGGCTCGCCCAGGGGGGGCTGCTAGGGGAAGGGGGGGATCAGTCACCGCCGGGCGTGCCACGG